ACACACACACACACACACACACACAACCACACACACAACCACACACACACACACACACACACACACACACACTCACAAATATTGTTTTTTTTTAAATATCAAAAACCGCCACAGCATTTGATCATTGTCTCCAAAGAAGAAGGTAATTTAATTCAACATAAGAGAAATCGAACCATCTACATGCTCTGCGCGTTATTATGGTTGCCACGGCATTTAACGGCAACAGAAAAAATACAGGAGGTATGGGGTGCTCTCGTGGAAGAGGGGTTACGGTGTTCGCTACTCATTCAATAGATCCCGGGTTCGAATCCGGTCCGCGATGGACAATTTTGGTCAATAAAATGTCCTCCTTTCTTCTCATTTTACTACCTCTATCAAAGTTCTGTTGTCTGATTTTGTCTCCACTTACTACCCCCCCTCCCCACCCCTTATCTCCTTTGCCCCCTCGTCTTGGCTTCTACCTCTTTCTGCAGCCTTTCTACGGCTACTCCTTGGCTTCTTCTTACAGTCTTTCAGCCCCACCCATGATCCTACAGTAGGTAAGATCTAACACCTAGCTTTCTCTGATAAAGGCAAAAAATTTCAAAGATCATGTGTGCAAGTTGCGAACGTTAAAGATCCATGGTGTTCCAAAATCAATAAGATTAGGCTTCGGCCGCCACCCGGGCAAAATTCTCAAAGTTTATTCCTACTAAACTGAAAATGCTCAACGTTTTCAACACGCTCAGATCATCTGACCTTATGCATTTGCGAGTGCCGTAAAACAATTAACCCCGAAATAAAAAAAAGTAAAAATATGTCGAATATTTTATTATCATACAGTCATATAGATAATATTGATACATGTTTTACATAATTGTAATCGTAGATCATTTATACCTCAATCCACACACTTTTGGATATAATGTAAACGATGAGCTTCTTCTAATGAAGTACCTCATTGCTACACCATAGAAGCGGGCAAAAAAATGAATGGCGAAATGGTATGTGTTTAACGCCCCTATCAGCACTGTTTGGTTGCTTAATCAAGAGGCGGAACCTCCTAGTTTAACGTCCATCACCGAAAGGGCCAAGCGTAATAGGTAATTCATGTAAGGTGCCTTACCCAAAGACACGACATCGGGGCGAGCTGAGGCTCCAACCCCCGAACCCCACAATCTCACGATTACGAGTCTGGTAGCCTAATCACTAGGCTTCCGACGCCACGACGCTGGCAACCAAACCTTTCAAGCGAAAGGCCAAAGATTTATTTTTTTTAAACTATGTAAAAACCTGGAATATGATCGATTGGGGAGAAAACAACGAACGACAACAGAAAAGAAACATGCCCAGAATTTTCCAGCAAAAAGATCAAGATAACGTTATTGTAAACCTGCCCATTGTCAGGGCTAAGTGAGCTTCTGATAAGATCAAGGCCAGTCATTGGCCTCTGTATGACCTGCTTCGTACAAAAGTTGGAACAAAAGAACAGAGCATGCTTGGCATACCCATTGAAAGAATGCTTAACTTTAGAAATGTAATTACTTCTGTTGTACAAACAATCACCCCAACCCCCCCACCCTCCCCAAATCAGTCACAGTGGACTGCAAATCATGTGAGGCTTCACTAATAAGACATGGCTTTAACCAAGAGAGAAGATTATCTTTTGTGTTGTTTGTTTGTTGTTGTTGTGTTTTTTTTTTGTTCTTTTTTAAATTGTTTTGTTTTCTGGGGTTTGGGGGGTTGCTGTTTGTTATTCTTTTTTGTTTTTGTTTTTGTTTTTTAATTATTTTTTCTCTGTGTGTGTGAGGGGGGAGGGGTATGTCGGCAAGGTGTCGCATGTGTCTCTTCTTCCATAAAGAGGCTGTACTGTGGTGGTCGGCTGTTTGGTGTCGCCCTCAGAAAATGTGAGTACTTACTTTTACGTTTTCATCCTCTGTTGCCGTTGAGCGTCGAGGGGAGATGCAGTTTTCAATGGTAGGCCAGCTCCGCAGCTCTTTCAGTTGGGATGTTATGTTTTCTTAAGGTTTCCTTGACACCCTCGATCCACTTTCTGCGTGGCCTTCCTCTTCCTTTATAGCCTGAGTGCTTAGTGTTGTAGGCTCTCAAGGCTGGCTGCGTAACAGGTGGCCAAACCATTTTATCCTCAGTCTTTCTATGTAACGCAGGCAGGACTCAGTGCCGATAGCTGCTCTTACTTTTTCATTTCTCTGCCGGTCTCGTCTTGTAATGTTAAGGGTTTTGCGGAGACATTTCATTTCGCATGCGGTGATTTTGCTATCATGGGTTTTGCTTAAGGTCCAGGTCCGGCACTGATAACATAATTTTGGTATGAATATTAAGGTGATAAGCTGTCTCTTTGTGTCCATGGAGATGTTTGGATGAGATAGAAGGGGTGCGAGCTGGTAGGTGACAGCGTTGGCTTTTTGAGTTCGCATTTCTATTTCTCTGTCTATGGACCCGTTTTCAGAAAAAGTGCTGCCAAGATATTTAACTCTTTCACCTGTTTCAGTTGTTTACTGTTGACATGGATGTTCAAGGGAATATGGTTTCGGCTCACTTTCATAACTTCTGTTTTTGATTTGCTTATTTTCATGTTGAATTTCTCACAGGTGTTGTTGAGTTCGGTAGTGTGATTTTGGAGGCTTTGTTGGTCATGATGAATTAGATATTGGTCGTCTGCGAACATAAATTCATTTAGGCATTCTGGGCTTTGGTTTGCTTCTTGCGTTATTGTGCCCATATATATTATAAACAGGAGGGGAGATATAACGCATCCCTGTCGTACTCCATATCTTACTTTGAACCAGTCTGTATTTCCTTCCTTCGTTCTTACTGTGCTTCTACTGTTGGTATATAGAGCTCTGACATTATCTAACAATTGTCCTCTGACGCCATACTTTTTGAGTGTCTTCCAGAGTTTTGCATGGTTTACTCTATCAAAAGCCTTCTCTTGGTCTATAAAGACGATGTTGGATTCTCTGTTGTGTTCTATTGTTTTCTCGCATATCTGTCGTAATGCAAATACGGCATCCGTGCATTCTCTTCCCTTTCAGAATCCAAACTGAGCTTTACTCAGATTTCTCTCTACAATAGGTCTTATGCGCTGCTCTAGTATCTTTGCATACATTTTTCCTGAGTGCCTTATCATGATGGGGGGGGGGGGTTTCGTGGAGAGGGTAAATGCTGAGGTAAAAGCTCATACTTTACTAAAACATTAGAGTTGTGTTTCAGGAACACGTTTCCTGAGGACCTACAAGCACCGAAAATGTTTTGGACGACGTAAGTGTGTTACTACTTACTTTTACTTTACGTGAGTATCTGCCCAATAGTAAGGTAGGTTTTTGCCTGTCTACTGACTTCTTCCTTTCTTTTCAGAAGGGTAGTTGGTGGGTGCTTTGGTGTGGTTTGCTCTGCTTTTTTCCTATCAAACTTCTATCGTTCTTCTCTCTCCTCCTCCTTTTTTGTGTATGTTACTCGCTTGTAACACCTCTAATCTTCGGCACTTATATGACCTTATTGTGTGCAAGTGCCGTAAAACTCTTAATAAGCTAAATAATTCTATTCAGCCCGGGTTGGTCTCGGCAGACAGAGTCGAAGCAGTCCACCTATTAGAATATAGATCTATCCTAAATTATGTCGATGGAAAACATCAGGAGACTCCGAACGGCGAGACAGAGCCGTCCTTACCTCTCCTCTATCCGCATCTGGTGTGAAGCGGTTGGCTGTTTCGCTACCGCACTCAGGTAACCCGAGTTCGATTCCTAAACGGAGAGAAAATGTTGACCCAGTATCTCAGGCTTTTTGCTCGGATGGTGTATCTGAGGTCAGCTCTGTGTTCCTCCAGCTCTATTTTCCGCGAGCTCTAAGGTAGATGAGAATCTTTGGTTGAAGGAAAGCAACTGCGTTTGAGGCCAAATATGACTGTAGTCGCTTAACCACTGGTGAGATTGACTATATATATATATATATATATATATATATATATATAGTGAAATGGTATGGGTTTAATGCCCCTATCAACACTATTAGGTTATTTAAGGGGCGGGACCTCCTAGTTTAACGTCCGTCTTCGATAGGACTGAACCAAGTGGGAAGTTCGTGTAAAGTGCCTTTCCCAAGGACACAACGTCGGACCGTGCTGAGGCTCGAACCCCCGAACTCGCAATCTCACGATTACGAGTCCGGTAGCCTAAACACTAGGCTACCGACGCCACTGACTTATACCAGTTAGACGATTGCTTGACCACTGGTCAGTCTGACCACTGCTTTTCTACTGGTCACTTTAACATGACATAGCATGTAACTTGACTGGGGGAACATAGAGCTGGGGGAACATAGACATGCTCCCATGTATCTTACATCGGGTTTGTCCTTACAGGCAGGGTTCTGAAGCTTTCCTCCTGAATGATCCAAATGTGAGGCACCGTGGTGGAATCAGGCACTCGTCAATTTTTGGGCATGAAGAATTATTGGTGTCATCTTAAATCTTGTTCATTTGTCTTTATTTAAATGAAAAAAAATATCCATTTATCTTGAATACAAGTCGAGATATTTGTGAATGAAGGAAGCGGGGGTCACCTGTTTTCAGAGAAAAAATTAGTGAGAAAATGGCCGCCAAAGATTAGTTATTTTCTTAGCTTAAGAGTCCGTTGCAACTGAAAGTTTACATTTTTTGGTCCTTTAATCAACGTTTGTAAGAAAAATCCACACAGAAATGAGTTCTTTAAAGGGCATGAAAGGTGTTGAGCCAAAAAACAAAAATTTATAAAAATTCACAAACCTGCGGAAAAATGCAAGTTTCTTCACTTTGATTATTTTGACGAGAGCCTGATTCCACCGCGCTGCCTCACAAATTGTGGCGACAGGGACGTAAAAAAACACTTACATAAAAAGCAGTCCTTAAAAAAATTACCGCTTCACCACGTGGTATAGCTTGTTCACTTTCGTCTGACCGCGGGCAAAACAAGACAAAATGAAAGCGCTCTGCGTGTTCGTCTTCTAAGATCTTTGCATGCGGGTCAAAAAGATGGATGACCAACAGAATCTAAAAGTCCATTCCCAAAGACCACTGCAAACTAAGGTTCCGACACGTTTTCTTTGATGTAAGCCAAAATCGGGTCAACAAAAAAGAATAGGGGACATAATACAACACACACATATGGCCTTAGCAGTTGCGAGCGCCGTAAAACCTTATACTACTACAACACACACCTAAAGCATTTAGAGGTTGACACATTTTCCTTAACATCACACTTTTACGTTCGCCTAAAGCGGCCCACACACGATCAAACTTGCTTGACACGCATGCTTGATTAAATGTGTCACGACGTGGTGGAATCAGGTTCTCGTCAATTTTTGGGCATGTGGATTTACTGGTATCATCTGAAAGCTTATTTATTTTCCTTGCTTTCATTGAAAAAAATATCTATCAAGCTTGAATAAAAGTCGAGATATCTGCGATTGAAGAAGGCGAGGTAGCCTGCTTTCACTAGTTAAATTATTGAGAAAATATCCGCCAACGTTGAGTAACTTCAATAGCTTAAGAGTCCTTGAAAACTGAAAATTATATACTTTGTGGTTTTAAACAAGGTTTTTCCAGTAAAATTCAGATGGAAATGTATTTTCATATGAACATAAAAGGTGTTTAGCCAAAGAACAAAATTTCGATAAAAATTGCCAAACTGGCGGGACAATGCCTTTCTCTTCGATTTCATTATTTCAACGAGCGCCTGATTCCACCATGATGCGTCACAAATGTATTTCACGGCTTGACGTTTGCCTGTACACAGTCAAACTTCTTTGTCAAACTTTAGTTTGTGCCGAGACTTCGTGATGGATGGACCAACAGCGTCAGCTCTTGCTTTAGCCTTGCAAAGAAAAACAAAACAGAAAAAAAGAAAGTGGGCCGGCCAAAAAGTGGTTGTTGCAGCGCCAACAGTTTGGCCATTCTGAATTAGGTGTGTCTTGGTCTTGCAGAAACATAAGTGGATCAAAACACCATAGTGACGGCTCGTATACATCATCTGCCCCGGCTCCTGACTTTTGAGAACAGTGCAGTTTCTTTAATTCCCTGTGAAAACATGTCCTCATGGAGTTCATTTTCTTTTTAAGGTCCTATTTGGTGACATCGTTATGCCACCCCCTGTATTTAACTAGTACAGTGTCATATCCAGCTTCTTTTAACTCTTTGCTTTTTACTTTCCACTTTTTAAAGTAGAAAGAAGGTGTTACGGCGCTCGCAACTGCATAAGGTCATATGAGCGTCAAGAGGTGGGTGTCAACAGAGAAGTCTTTACAGGGAATCAGACTTAGACTGCTCACTTCTCTAGCTTCAACAGCACAAGGTCTGCTTCGACTATCAAGGCACCCCAAAATAGTCGGTCACAAGAGAGTGACAACATACAAAAGAAATAGAGGAAAATGACAATGCTGTTATAGTAAGGATCAAAAAGAAAAAGCAGCAGTTCCTAGTTGTAGATCAGGCACAGTTATGAGCGTGACATGAGTCAGCCCATTTACAATTCTACTATGCTTGAACGAGAAATGTCCCCCCTTTGGGAATAGCCTAAAGACACTTCAGTCAGTGGCACTGCCCCGGGGGGTTCTCTTTCCACAATACGAGCAAATTGTGGTATTCATTAATAAAGTCCAGCATAATTTTTTTTCTCTTTTGATGGCGTCAAGTTGTTGAATGAAATAAATGTGATCTGAGATAGTTAATAACAGTTGAAAATTGAAGAACAATGCGAGATGTGTCGTCGCTGGAGGCTTGTGAAAAAATAATGCTTGACAAACAAATTTGATTAACCCCACTCACGATCCAACTTGTGTGACGGCTTGACGAAAAATATCAACAAAAATCAAATACATCAAGCAATTGACATCAAGCATGTTTGGCCATCAAACTTACCCATACACGATCAAATTATGTTTATGAAACATGCTTGACTCAAGCACGTGTGTCAAGCAAGTTTGATCGGGTATGAGCCGCATAAGAAACACGTTACAAGACACATGGTGAGTAATTTTAGAGACTCACGTGGAGACGTCTAAACAGCGGGGGAGGAATCCAACAAGCTCACACCGAAATATTGGGCAGTATTTTGCAGGTGTCTCAAAATAAATTTGTCCACGGGGTTATTGTGAAAGTTGCGTGGGCGTAGGTATTAATAAATGAGGTATAATAGTAGATTTTGTTTATCGCCGAGAGACGACAGTGAACAAGCAAAGAAAGCTTTTTCATAAAGGTCATTGCACACTAAGGTTCCGATCCAACACGTTTTCTTTTATGTTAGCCTAAAGCGGGTCAAAATATTAAAAAGGGGTTCACAGCATGCACCTAAAACATAAAAAGGTTCATATATTTTCCTCAGCACTACACTCTAGCAAACGAATAACAAACGCGATTCAGGGGGCTCTCGTGGCCTAGAGGTTAAGGTGTTGGCCTCTCATTCAAAGGTCCCGGGTTCGATTCCGGGTAGCGACCGAAACATTGTCTTCTCTAAATTTGTCTCCTTTCACCTCATTTCCTGCTCTCTAGCAATGTTCTGTCGTCTGCTTTCGTCTTCTCTTTCTGCCCCCACCCCCTCACCTCCTTTGCCCCTTCTTCTGGGCTC